CACTCTTTTCCAGTCAAATTTCTGACGCAGCCTCACACCACTGCCCAGCCCCCATTCTGCCCAAGCCACACTCTGCCAACAGCCACACTCTGCCCGATTAAGCCACACTCTGCCCAGCCACACTCTGCCCAGCCACACTCTGCCCAGCCACACTGCAAACACAAGCACATTCTGCTCCGCCTCTGTCCTGACCAGCCTCACTCTACCCAGACTCACACTGCCCAACATCCACTGGCAAGCGTCACTCTGCCCAGCCTCCACTCTACCCAGACTTACCACTGCCCAACATCCACTGGCTCAGCGCCACTCTGCCCAGCCTCACTCTGCCCAGCCTCGCTCAGCGCAGCCTCGCTCAGCCCCAGCCTCGCTCAACCCAGCCTGCTCCAGCCCGAGGTCTCGCGCTGCCCGCCCAGTCTCTCTAATGCCCAGGCCTCACTTCTACCCAGACTCACACTGTAACCCAACAATCACTGGGTCAGCGCCACCTGCCCAAGCCTCAACTCTGCCCAGCTCGCTCAGTCCAGCCTCGCTCAACCCAGCCTCGCTCAGCCGAGTCTCGCGCTGCCCAGTCTCTCTCTGCCCAGCCTCATTCTACCCAGATTCACCCTGCCCAGCCTAACCCCGCTCAGACTCACACTGTCCAGCATCACTGTACTCAGGCTCACTCTTCACAGCCTCACCCTGCCCATACTCGCTCTGCCCTGTCTCGCTGTGTGCAAACTTGCTCTGCCCTACTCCTCTCTGTCCTATCCCGCACGGTCCTACCCCACTCTACCCTATTGCGCTTTGCCCTACCTCGTTCTGATCCACCCCTCTCTACCCTACCCCGCCCTGTCTTACCCCACCATGACTTACGGCACTCTGCCCTACCCTACCTGCACTAATCGTGCCTAGAGGCTAACAACGTCGGAACATGTTCTCTATTATGGCAGTGATGTTCTCCATTAAAATATTTTAATTGATTTTTATTATTACTTATTTTCAACGAAATTATATAAATATAAATAAAATAATTCACTTTCTTTTTAATTTAAATCATTCTCTAACAATGTATAACGTTTATCACCGCACATTATATTCTGTGAATGTACAAATCAGAACCAGAATCAGGTTTTTAATTACTTCACTGGCTCAATCTCTGACATTTACACTTGATTATACCACACAAGATCAGTGATAAAATCTACCAGTTACTCTTGTTTTAGCATTAGCAGGAGCGTGAAGTAAGTTTCCTCAAATATTTATGGATTCTCGACATCACCCACACGTACATTTTGAGATGTGTGTAGCTAACTAAAACCAGATAGCTTTCCTCTAGTCCTCTATTCCTCTAGTGCTAATAGATCATACAGTGAGATTTATATAAATCAGTGTTTTACTTGCGACTTCTAAAGTAGGAGATACTTTAATCGGTACAAACAAAAATGTTCGATACCATATTTTGTTGGTTTTAAGTGAAACTGTTCTTTAAATAATTATAAATTCAACTATATGCATAAAATTTCGTTGCACGTGATCTGTGTGACGTCTGTAGAGGGTTCTTCAAATCTTAATGTTAAGAAAAAATGATCGATGTCAGGAACATAGAACATTTCTGCTTGCCCTTTGCAGCTCCTGGTCATCGAACTTTTTTGTTTTCACCCATTCAATTATCTTGCCATGTTAGCTCACCGGTCGCCCTCACGTTTTACCTTACTCGCATCGCCCGCCTCGCCGCTCCTCGCCTCGTCACGCGTCTTGGAACCATGTCCCTGTTTGTTACTTTCCCAGTAACCTCCTCGCATCCTCCCCCTCCTTATCTATCACATACCTCCATTTCATCCACCAGGAGAGGTGGCTCAGGGCATCAATGTCACTCCATTCCCTCTGACCGGGAAGTCTTATATTCGAGCCCGACGGTGGTAGAGTTTCGACACCAGCTAGTCAGCTACGACGAATACAGTCGCTGTCTGGAGGAGAATCCTAGCGGCGGCTGCTCGGATCCGTGGTTATCCGTAGTTTCTACAATCAACACCAGGCGAGTGAAGGAGCAGTTCCCTAACAAACGGACAACGGAACACCATCTATCTTTCCTTCCACTTCCTTGTCCTATTCTCTCTCTCGTACACACACTTTCCCTAGCACGCACTCACTACACAAGCACACATGCCGGGAGACTGGTCGGGAGCTTAGATTTCGTCCCGGCTAAGGCAGTTGGCCGCTGGTGGGAGATACCTGGATGGAGAAACCCTCGCTAGCCGACGGTAAGTCGGCGCCGAATTTCCCCATACAGCGAGGGATACAGCGGGGGGACGGGGCAAAACATGTACTACTCTTATGTGAAAATGACCCTGGTAACCAATACCCCCACTCTATTCACATTTCTCCACGTCATCGCACAACAAATGTCGTGCAGATATTACATACTGCTTCCAATTGTGGGAACTACACTGGTAACTATACTGGTACTCATTCCTGCAGGATGTTTCTGTAACGCAGACTGTAACTGAAACTAAACTCTATTTTTCTCCCTCAGGGGCCAACTCAAGCTATGCCCCTTGCCCAGTATTACCTTCACCCTCAGCAATCGGTATCTAGGGTCTTGGGAAGGGGCGTGTCCCACTCCCTCACCATTTCCCTTCTCACTAGTTCTCCAGGCCGGAACCTTATCTGTTAATAACACGCTGAGATAGCCGCAGCCCTTCTCAGTAAGTTTTTTGGTTATCGCCAAGGGGCTGATGAGATCCTTAGATCCTTAGCGGAAGGGTGGGTAGTGACAGGATAGGATAGCGAAAGCATGTTGGAGCGATCCGGTGGAATGCATATTGTCAGGGGAAACGGGAGTACCCCGAGAAAACCTGCCGCGAACCCGCTTCGTCCACATTCCACTTGGAACCGCCTAGGATCGAACCCGGACACCACCGGTGGAAGGCGAGCTGTCTGACCACTGCGCCACAGGCCGCCACAGACTTTAACAGTTCTAGAATACTTTCTCGTGTGTGCAGGATCAAGCAATGCACGCGTGTGAACATGAGAGACTTGTTCGTGGCGCATCACGAAATGGGCCACATCCAGTACGACCTGCAGTACAAGGATCAGCCGGTGCTGTACAGAGGTGGCGCAAACCCAGGTAACTCATCTTTTTCGTTCTTCTTTTATTGTCATTGCCGTGCATGTTTTGTGTTAGTATTATTGTTCCGCATTTATATCACAAACTTTGCCATTTGGCGCTGGAGCTGTTGTTCTCCCTTTTGTTTTTGTCACTTTGCCAGTAGGAGAATGTTAGCGTCAATCAATATTTAACTAGCTACAATGTAAAAAAAGAACACTTAAAAACTTCCTTTTCGAGAAGGATTATTTACATTAACACGTATCTTAAATTTAATCGATCGCGTGTTATAAAAGTATACCAGGCGGGAACTTTATATATCGGTGTTAGTGGCCTGTCCGTTTACAGACGTTTAATGATTTCACTCGTACACATATTCGTGCCCTTTTCGTCATTTTTGGTGGCAATTCGTACAAGTGGTGACGACATCTGAACAATATAAATCACTCCTGAAACCTGTACCATTCCGCACTAAACTGCACACACTGAATTGACACGTTGGGACATTAAGAGTTGGCAGTCGGTTGTAGTTCGCTGGTGAAAGAATACATTTGCACAGATATACGGACTTTAGGGAAGGACTCTTGGGAAGTAAAGCCGGTTGTCCGATGTTAGTAGATTTCCTTGCAAGTAAAAGATCCTCAAGCCTAAATGACACCTCTGAGCTAAATTCAAAATCGCCTGTTTCTCGCCCAAGAAATACCTCCTTTCTCTGCTAGTTGGTGAAAGGAGTATAGCGAAATTTGCGTGATCAGACGGAAGAGCAGGCCTCATGGCCTGAGTCTCGCCACGTAAAATAAGGCATTAATTCAATTCAACTGAATTCACTCTAGTGATGTTCAACTGAATTATTGTCTTGAATAATATTTCTTGTCTACTTGACCGCAAGCGGCTGTCAGAGAAACGTGGGTTCCATTAACTAGTCATAGGCTTCATAGTATGATGATTTCACAGCAGATTTGCCGATACTTGAATGCCGAAAATTGATGCAAGTGCCAAATCGCCAAGAGCGTCATTATTAATTTCATTATGCGTTGGTTGTATTGTTCTGTGTCGTCTAAGGTTGTATACTCTCATTCGTATTTGTTTCTTCCCGCCGCTGCTGCTGTTGAGATATGCTTCAGGAACGACCACACAACCACGTGGTTGCCACCTAAGTAAGTGGCCACGTCGCTCTACCCCACCCCAGCCATCACGTAGACAGAAATATTAAGTACAGGCAGTAAAACCTGTGAAAAACAATCGTCGACTGTTCTGAACAAAAGCGTTTACAGGCCATGAGGCGGTCGGCGACGTGAGCACATACCGATATCGGAACAATTGAAATCAGTCCTGAAACTTCTAAATGCACGCACTAAAATTACGCTTTGAGGCATGTTAGAGGCTGACTGAGGAGGCACGTGGACATTTGATGGCTTGGATGAGCTGGCGGTTAGCCTTTCCGCTTTTACATCGATAGCTTTTGTAACAACTCGTAGAACCACCGCGTTTAATGAGACGCGGACGCGTTCCCAGTAAATGTCTACCTGCAAAGAGGAAGTAACTATTACCTTGGGAAAATTCAGAAGACATGTAGTAATTAAAGAGAAAAGACATATAATTAAGACCAAAAATTATACAATTAATTACAATAATAATCACATAAATTTTAGAAAGTAGAAAGAATTTAGTGGTCGTAGGAATCTACAGTTGCAGACTGTGTTGATTGCAGTTGGCTTTGATGTATTGTAATAGCTATAGGCATTCACAGTTGAAGATAATTGCGTTTTACATTGAAACATGACAATGAATTGACAATAACAGTTTAAATCTGTGTTGATTGTACATAGCAAATAATATGAGTTTATGTGTGCAATATGGCTGAAAGAGTAGAGCTGAAATAGAAACATAAAACATGAAGAGAATCACGTGCTGTTGCAGCGAGGACTTGTAGAGTGCGCACGCGCAGAGCACGTGTCGCGAAGACTTGTAGAGAATTCACGAACAAGACACGTGTGATGATCAACCCGGAAAAAATGCACTTGCATGACATACACTGTAGCAACCTGAAGCTTAGATTTACCGTGACTGATTACTTGTAATTGCAGCAGTTGCATTGAATGCCACAGAAGCAGACATTGTGGCACAATACACGCGTTGGTAGCACGTGTGTTAAATTACGTTACACGTGACTTAATAACACTTCATGGCAGGGGCACATTCATAGTTCATTTTGAAATGAACTCAACACATAATAAATTACAGAACATTGTGCAATGTATATGCAACACGTGGTTCCCTAAGCGCATTAATACAACTGATGAGTTGTAATAAACGTTCAGTTTATGTTGAAATGAAAATTTACATAATATCATCTATTAATTGAGAATGTTCAATTGTGAAGCAATTTATATGAGACGTGTAGTTCACTGGTTCATGAAGGGACAAATGGTTACGTATTAGAACTTCCATGCACGTGGTGACATCAGTTCAGCTTCAAGTACACAATATAAAAACCCGTATGAAAGCTTGTCATTTCTACATGATAGCTGGAAGTTGATGTGTCAATGAGTTATACGCAATGCCATGTATTACGTATGACGCCATGAGGCTAATGGAAATAATGTATTGTTTTGAGCAGTGTAGGGACGCATACACAGTTGGGCAATGTGAACGCCACCAGTCTAACGTATTATTTACAGTGGTTTGAGGGGAGACGCGGGTCGGTCATACGTGTGTCTAGTTTGAGAGCACTCCTGCGCCGTTGCCTCTTGTAATTGCTCATGCTAGCGTTGTGTAAGGCAGTGCTTGTAGCGACTGGCGAGTAAAAAAATTTAAGGAAGTACGGCCAGAAAGTGGCGACACCTTAGGTCGGTGAGAGAACTAGTTGAACAAATATAAGCGGTACCCGAATCCTCAGATCCTCTAGTGTACAATTGAGTTATGAAACAAAATATCTGTGTAATGCAGCGAGTTCTAACAAGGCAATAAAATTCGGCACTCGGCGCTTTTCGCTGGCGGAAGAACACGTTTCGCACAGCGATACGGACTCAGGCGATGTTCAACTATTTTAGAACCAGTCAAAAACAATGGACTGAACCAAAGTTTGTCTTCCATTGTCAGGCTTCCACGGAGTGATTGGCCACGTGATGGTGAAACGGTATGGAAACAATATTAATCACTCTTGAAACTTTTAGCTACACACTCTGTACTAACACTTTGAGGTATTAAACAGCTGACAATCGACTTATTTCGATGGTGGAAGAATACATTTTGCCCAACGCCACGGACTCCGGCGATGTTCAACTATTTTAGAACCTGTCCAAAACAATGGTCTGTACAAAAGCATATCCTCCGTTGTCAGACCTCCACGAGTCGGTAGACGAAGTGATGGCGATGTTAAACTATTTTAGAGTCCGTTTAAAACAATTAACTGAACAAAAGCGTGTCTTCTACTGCCAAGCTTCCAAGAGGCGATAGGCGACGTGATGGCGATGTTAAGCTATTTTAGAGTCCGTTTAAAACAATTAACTGAACAAAAGCGTGTCTTCTACTACCAGGCTTCCACGAGGCGATTGGTGACGTGATGGCGCTGTCGGTGTCGACGCCCAAGCACCTGCGGCGCGTGGGGCTTCTGGACGGCAGCGAAGCCGACGACAGCCCGGAAACGGCGCTCAACTTCCTGTACCTGCAGGCCCTGCAGAAGGTGGGCTACCTGCCCTTCGGTTACATCGTGGACTTGTGGCGCTGGGACGTCTTCAAAGGCTGGACCACACCTGACGAGTACAATTGCCAATGGTGGAGATTACGGTACGATTTATTAACCCTAATTATTTTAATGGTTTAGTAGTTCATTACTGGTTATAGTCCAGTCAAAGGGTATCTGAACCAGGAAAAAATTGCGGAAGTTTGTTTCTCAATGGTTCTATATGTTTTTGAGAGTGCTGAATTCGAATTTGATGTTTGCCACCTCAAAAATCGGCTTCACAGAGACAATTGCAAACAATCCTGAAAATTTCACTCTGTTTCTAGTTTTTCATTAGACCATTAGACTTGTTTTTAAATTTTATTATTATTATTATTATTATTAATAATAATAATAATAATTTTAAAAAATGTTTATGGGTGCCACCAGCCAATTGAGAAACTATAGTCAAATAAAGATTGTAATAAGAAATGTGTTATTTTGCAGAGAACTGTACCAAGGGGTAGAACCTCCAGTTGACAGAAGTGAAGATAATTTTGATCCTGCTGCAAAGTACCACGTAGTTGCAAGTGTTCCATACATACGGTAATTCTGCACAAACATTCCAATCACATACTGTGTTAATGGGCAGCACGTAGACAGATTTTCATCGCGATTGTAATTTTCATTTCCACTTCTGAAATGTTTGTTAGTATCGCCGAAAATGCTGACTGCATACTGGATAAGATTTTTCATATTTTTTCATATTTCATTTAAAAATTGTTGACTTTTCAAACATTAACAAAATTATTTTTATTTTTTATTTTTTAGATCATTAATTTTATTTAACAAAGATTAATTTTGTTTTCTAATTTATTCTATTTTAGCTATATTTTTGTATTTCTTGGCCCCCGAATTAAAATCAATTATATCATATTTCTCACGTTTTGTCAGATACTTCGTGAGCACCGTCATTCAGTTCCAAATCCACCGCGCGCTCTGCATTGAGGCAGGTCAGTTCGACCCAACTGACGCCAAGAAGCCCTTGCACAACTGCGACATCTACGAGAGCGTCGCCGCGGGCAACAAGCTCAAGTGAGTGCAAAGGCCAAAGCTTAGTTCGATACTTTTCCTACTCAATAGAGCAAATCTGTATATTTGAATGTGTGTGAGGTGGGTGCTAAGCAATGCGCGAAGCAGCGGGTATGTCGCTAGGCAATGCTTCGCCTGGGGAGCATTCGATGTGTCTGTGAATGTGTGCTCTGGTCATAAGGCAATGCTTCTTCTAGAGAGCAGCCGGTGTGCCTGTGAATTTGTGTGCTATGGTCGCAGGGCAATGCTTCGCCTGGGGAGCAGTCGGTGTGTCTGAACTTGTGCTGTGGTCGTAGGGCAATGCTTCGCCTGGGGAGCAGTCGCACAGTGGTTGATTTCCTTCATCTAGCTGTATTAAAATATTATCAATAGAACGGTAAAGCCGACGCTGTTGAAAATGGTCAGAATTATTCCTTGTGCCATTTTCCATTTTTTGTAATGTGAGAACGAAATATAATAATAAATTCATTGCCCTCGAGTCTTGATAAGGATTGCCAGG